TCTGTTTCATAAGTACATGCACCCAACTGACACCTCATGAGAGAGCGAGCTCTCAGAGATGAACCGACCCACTGTAAGGTGACAAAGGGATTTATTATATTATTCTAATTAGATTTCTACAGAGGATCAACGTTAACGCTGTCAGCAGGGGGAGACCTTGGTGTCATTACATCAAGTGCTGGAGCTGCTTAATGCTCAGGAATAGATGGGTTCTAGGAAATAAATACTGTATAAATACTGTACTAACGTCATGTTTCACCCCTGAACCCTTTGACATCTCCTGCTTTGTACAAACATCGAAGGGTGATAAGCTCAGAGCTGCCAATACATCAGTGGACTGTGGGTGCTGCATGGGCCTCATCATGCTTCCTCTCAACTCCGTCTGCTCATGGCCCAGAGGAGATAAATGACACGGCAAAAATAAATCTCCCCCTTCTACCCCTGCAGACACTCGAGGCAGGAAGGGAAACACCGGGTCACACTGCAGCTGACATGTTGTCTAAATAAAATATAATGCTCATCATATTTAAAAGCTGTATTGTATGTTGATGTCAGTGACTTTTTGAGAAATATGACTTTTCCCTTTCGATCAGAAAAGATAGAAACCACTCTCATGTTGGTAAATATGAACCCCTGTCAGCAGCCAGTTAACTTAGCACAAAGACTGGAAATAGCTAGCCTGGATCTGTCAAAGGGAAAGAAAATCCACCTATTAGCACCTCTTAAGCTCACTAAATAATGTGTATGTCTTGTTTGTGCAGAAAAACAGATGTTCAAAAATGCAAATGTAATATTCTACAGGGACTCATTTTTTGTAGGAATTCAAGAAAACATAACTTGTTAATAAGTGAGCTTTGGAGTTGCTGGAAAGCATATTTTGTCACCTTTTGGACAGAGCTGGACTAGCTATTTTCCCGTTTCCAGGTTGTTATGCTAAGCTAAGCTAGCTGGCTGCTGCCTCATGCTTCACATTTACTCTACATACAGAGAAGGGTATCGATCTTGCCAAACAGCAAACACGCAAACTGTAAAACTATTCTTTTAACATACAGTACATGTGCCATTTTAGCCTTACCAACACTTGCTCCAGTAAGAAACATACTATTAACTATGGTAGTGTGCCAGGCGTTTGTGCCATGCTCTGAGCAATAAAAGACCATTGTACACACATGACATCCTTGATAGACATAGATAAGCACAGTCCATCACTTGATCCAATCAGCAGCTGTACAAAGACAACAGCAGGGCCATTGAAGTCATCTGAACGACAGCATTTATATGAGTGCACAGAGAGACTGCTGCTATTGTGAATTAGATCATATCTGTCATTGTGCGGATATAAACAGTTAGATGTAGATAAATGTAATAATTTATTGGACATTCAGAGAGTAATATCTAAGAGCAAATGTTTTGTAGTGCAGGAGCGACAGACAGGGGGAAGAGTTTTGAAAGTTTGATACACAAATTAAAGAAAGTGAAATAGTGATAGAAAGAAAAAAGAGCCAATATCAGTCTCACTCCTCTCAGCCAGCAGAAAAAAAGCACAGTGGATTAATTCATCACTATGCTGAGCCTTTGCCCTCCTCTGGAATAAATTACCAGATGACTCTCAATTTAGACCACACACACACACACACACACACACACACACACACACACACACACACACACACACACACACACACACACACACACACACACACACACACACACACACACACACACACACACACACACACACCACACACACACACACACACACACACACACACACACACACACACACACACACACACACACACACACACACACACACACACACACACACACACACACACACACACACACACACACACACACACACACACACCACACACACACACACACACACACACACACACACACACACACACACACACACACACACACACACACACACACACACCACACACACACACACACACACACACACACACACACACACACACACACACACACACACACACACACACACACCTGACCAGCGAGCACTCACAAAAACAGTGGGAGAGAAAACTAACAAATGGAGAGAGTCTGCAGGTCAGTGCTATATCATAGCTTTACTAGACTCTTTAAGAAGTAGACGTGTAACAGGATTCAGAGACTTTTTCTGCACGGCGAGTTAGCAACAGTTGTGTGTTTCCCCAACTGAGGCTTGACTTTTAGAAAGCAACCTTGTGTGCCTTGTCACTTCTGGGGATGGGAGGGTTTAATGGGGGAAGTCTGAGGTATGGCTGAGTGATTCCACCACTTATGTTAATGCATGCAGAGGCTGGAATCAGGCAGCAAGCAAGATGGTATTACTCTCCAGATACTTATAAGCTTAGCACCTTTTATTGCCCTTTTCCATTTATAGTAAGAGGTAACCGTAAAACTGATTCTACATTAGCTGTTTAGGGGGGGATACTTGATTTCCTTGAGTGGGGGCAATTGGACGGGAAAAGTCAAGGCCAGATAAATGGTGTTGTGTTATTTTTCTGTCTATTTGGCCATACAAACACACACAAAATGCCCACTATCACAGGACCTTGTACTTGAGCCTTATCATCGCCAGAGCAGCCCAGATGGTAACGTACCCTTGACAAAGACTCACATCACACTCCCAAACTTCTTTTGAATCGTTCTCACACTGCTGACGCCTCGCTGTCTCTCCATCTCTCTCATGTAAAAATTTAAGTATGATTACAGCGCAGTTTTTACATTTGCTTGATTCAGTTTTGTAGTAAAATAAACTTCTGCACTTTGTTGTTGCTACTGCTAGCTGTGTGCAGATGTGGATGATTAGTATCATCCTTTAAGGGATAAATGTGTGCACTGCCTTACACAAGCCATTACAAAAACATGCACACAGAGACTAAAAACAACACAAATATTTAGTAATAATTAGATACAAATTATTTAAGATGATGTGGATCTAACACTCTTACTAAGGCTGCAACTAATGAATATTTTCATTATTGATTATTCTGACGAAGATTGCCTGGGTGTCGTGTCTAAAAATAGAGCAAATAAAAAAGATGTAAAGCCCTATGTGACTTCTGACAAACTGCCCTAGACCCAAATAAATTCAGTTTACAATAGCAAATTCACAAAAAGAAGCAGCAATCCTCACATCAGGGACGCTTAGACCATAGAACTTATGGCAATATTACTTTAAAAAATACTTTAAAAACCTAATCAGAACAGTTTCTGTCAGTCAAATATATATACAAATATATGTTAAACTAAATACAACACGATAGTCCTTTTTATGAGAATGTGTTGCAGAGTGTCTTGTAAAATCTATGTTGTTCATTCACACAACTCCAAAACAATTAATGGCATTAGTGATCTCTTATAGTGAGAAGAAATCAAAAAAGCAACAACAAGCAGAAGCAGCAATTTATCAGTGAGCCATGAACGCATCACAGCAAGCAGATGTGCGCATAATTTTGATGAAAGCTACTATAACTAACATATCTATACATTATGATAAAAAGATACCCAGCCCCTCATAGGGGCAACCAAAGAGGATGTTAAGCATGACACCTTACAGAACAGGGATTAACCATTTGCAGCCGAAGGAGATTTGTATACCATTAGTCTAACTCAATCAGGGGACTAATTCAATCAAAGGCACAGTGGGCGTCTTGACATGGGCGCATCTGTCACACTGACTTCTCACTGCATCCTGCAGTGACATTTGGCCACAAAATTCGGTTTGACAGAGGCCCTCAAATAGCCTGCGGTCTGTCAGACAAACGCACACATACTCATGAAAACAACCAACACACAGATGCACTCATGCGGCAACGAATTCACAAGATCACACACTTTGTGTATGGACGTTTGGTGTTTGCAGGGGCCTGCTGAGATGTACATGCAAACATTTCAGTACGATCTGTCTTTGATTATATTACCAATGCGCCACTGCTCAAGGCTTCTACATCATTATTCTTCATTTAGAGATAGGAAAAGCTGTTCTAGTTACTGTGTTTTACATATTGGACAAGGAAACTAAAATCATAAGTTCTTAGTTTGCTGCAAAATAACCTCCTTTCTTTTCGAAACACGTATCTGAATAATTGCAGTAGTGTTGTGCTTATTTGAACTGTTCTACAATACATAAATGCCAAATATTCACAAAATCACCATCATCTTGATTAGAAACACGCTTTTAGTCCCTGCATTCAGGCAGATGCAGAACATTGGGTAATACTCTGTTAGAGTAATTATTTGTGGTTGAATACACAAATGGCACTGTCATTTTTGTGATGATGTAACACACTGAGGGTTAACTTTTTGCTATTATGTCACTCAATCCTTTTCAATAGTTTCTATTCAGATACCTTGTCCATTTTACAAATACTTTCATTAACATATTTCTGTAAATGACTTGTTTTATTTTAGGCCTCTATAAGAGAAAAGCTACAGGTGAAGCAGAAGCTAAAGCTCATGAGAAACATGACTGACTAGAGTCAGCTTTACGCTTAGATTTTGCTTCTATGAAGTGCATAAATCCAGCATTAAGATCGTACATCAGAAGTGATTGAAACTGAAGCAAATGTTAGCTTTATCAAAACTCTTACACAAAAACTACAGAGAGAACAGAACCTACGGTAAGCATGGAGGCCTGTGACCCTGTGACCTTTAACGGAGTGTGTATAGAGGCCTTTTGCCCTAAATATAAAAACAATACATTATAGTTACAAAAGCGTTTGAATGAATGGTAACGCAGGTTTGCTGTCCCTTTTTGTCTCAAGGTATATCTGCTGTTTTTTTTACTATAATATGGCCATTCAAGATGATAGAAGTTTTGGAAATACAGTTGTTTGATGTCCTTAATATTGTTATTATGTGAATTGAGTACATATTTTGTATAATGGAAAAGAGGCCTCTTGGAGACCAACTGTAATCTGCATGAACACACACACATTTTGTCCCAGTGTCTCTGTGAATGTAATAAATGTAGGTGCCCTCACCTTGCAGCTCTGGGGTTTTAGGGGTAGTGCCGAGGCAGGATTTCCTTGCTGAGTGGTATTAGTCTGCTGGGGTGAGTGGGAATCCTCGGACTCTTTTCCACTTTGGTAGACCACCCTATCAGAGATATGAATACTTGAAGCACAGCCCATGCTTCAACCCACTTCAGCCTTTTTCTCTTTGAGCAAGTGCTTTACTTTGAGGCTACCAGAGTGTCATTCGCCCTTTTTTGAAGGTCCACTTTTCCTTCTAAGGTCTGTCTTTTTGTTAAATATATATAAATACATATATATATGTATCATCTAGGCCACAGCAAAGTCGGTTCTCCAATTTCTCCAACACAAGGCATGAATAAAATCTCTCTATCCCCAACCCCCCGACCAGGAAGCTGATTTCCTCCCTCTCTTTTTCACATGAAGTTAATTGGAGGTCTTTAATCAAAGCAGCTGTCTTGTCCTCGAAAACTTGGATTCCGTTATTCTTCAGCTGGGCTCCTCAGATCCCCATGGACGATTTGGATCCCTCACTCCGGCTCCTATTCTCGCCTTCTTCGTACCACATCACCATTTTCTCATTTCCCCCTAACTTCACTGTTATCAAGTAGGCTAGGCCTGAAAAACACACCATGCAGTCCCCACGCCAGCTTCATGCAATAGTTTTATCCATTATGGGTGTCCAATGTTTCATGTGTAGTCGTCCTCCCACACCCCGGAGCCATCAAAAATGACGCTTTTTCCTCTATTTGTGTCTCTCTCAAACAATCTGGATGTCCACTTCAGCTCAAGACACGGGCCATAAACCGGTTCTCACGACACTTTGCTCCAGTCCTGCGCGGTTCATCATCAACAGGCTGAAATATTCACACTGCAGGGTGTTATTCTAGCCAGTCGCTCCGATGTCAAACACCCTCCGTAAAACATAAAGCCATAATGTAGTCCGACAGAACACTCCTTCCATCAGCACACATTCACCAATTTAGGAAACGGGGAAATCTTGCTGGATGGCTCGCAAATATCCATTCAGGCATCCGCTGCCCGGTTGAGGATGATCCGCCTGATATAGGAGGTCCAAACCCGGGTGCAGCTGGCTACACTGTCACCGGGCTCCACGGTTTTCTCTCATTCTTGTAGCAATAAAAGGATGTAGAGGTTGTCAGATACCATGTACCACCTCTGGAGAATGCAACCGCTTGATACACACAGAATCTTCACAAAAAAAAAAAAAGACACAAAAAAAAAAAAAAAAAAACAAGACCGATCCGTGTCCACAAGTTTCGGATCTGAAATCTGGCACGGCAGGATGATTCACGGTGAAACAGAGCGAAGATAAGGCAGGACCGAGCTACATAATGCTGATTTTATGTTAGTCTTTTCTCTGCCTTTTCTGGCGTTTGCCCTTCCAATTCTTCAGCACTGCTTGACAGCGGCACATCCAATAAAAGCACCCGCAAGGATTGACCTACAGCCTTTACTGACGTTAATGCAAATGAGCTCCGCGCAGCTAATCGGCGTCGTGCTCTGCGCCGCTGGGTGGTCCTCCGCTTTCCGTGGGAACTTTGAAAGCAGGAAAAGGGCTCACACAGACGAACACGGAGCTGGCTGCAGGTAAGCTGAAATGTATGAACATTTTCTAAGGATTGCACAAGCATAGCGGGCGAAAGATGCTTTTGGTGTGTTTTTCACGGTCATATCACTGCAACATTAGTGTAATTTACAGCGGGGGTCGCTTTAAAAATCGCGACGGTGAAACCTATGGAATGCCAACTGTGCCAAAATTAAACCTTTATTGACACATTATTTAAAAAAAGAAAAGGTGAAAAATACAGACACTTTTATAAATTAACTGATAGTGATTTTTTTATTATATTTATTATCAAATGTTAGTTATTTACTGACCAAGTTATTGTGATTTAGAATCATGTTTTTTCCAAATAGAAATTTGACTTGATATCTGGTAGCACAATAATGCAGAGAAAATACTGGTAATTGCTTAGAATTATAATTTAAAAATACATTTACTAAATAAATAATTATAAAAAGATACAAAATTAGTGCAGTGAAGTGTTTGGAACAAAGGAGATTGAATGTTTCAAAGTAAATTGTATCAATATTATGCAATTTATATGAATGCTAAAGTTGTGAGTTAATGTAACACATTGAGTAAGATGCAGATGTTTTACACTAATTTTAGGTTTAGTGTCCATTTTATCAATGTTTGTTTATTAATTGTGTCTGTTTGTTTTGCTTTCAAATTCGTTTTTTTCCAACCAACTCTCCACAATCCAAAAGCATTTGGTTTACTAACATAATATCAAGAAAAGCAGCAAATCCCCACAACATAGACGCTGATATAAGACTTTTTAAGGTTTTTGCTTAAAAAATATCTCAATGCAACAATAGTGTATGAGCAATTGTCTCTCTGACTAAGCAACTAATCGACTTGTTTTTTTCTCTCTATTGTCTGTATTTTACTGCTGTATAGCACTTCCATGTTTGAAGACACATTTCATGACAGTATTCATGTTCACCTACATAGCAGCCTCAGCAACTGTCGCATAATTTATCTTTATTTCCTAAACTACTCTAGCAATACAAGGGAAGAGACACAAGAATATGAACACTTTTATGATATACAGTATTTAATCCCCACATTTAACCCTAGAACTCATTATGCTTGAATCTAATTGAGATTGTGAGAGACATATTTTCTTAAATCTATTATGGGGCAGTAGTATTGGTAGTTTTACTTGATTAGATTCCTGTTTTTGTGTAGTTTAGTGTATTTTTTCCACAGTAAACAAATTAAATAATACCAAGAACCCCAATATTATTGTATATGAATATAATACAGTATAAACCAAGAAAAATACAATATGATACAAGAATGTCGGATAGCAGTTTGTTGTAGCATACATTTCTTATCAAAATATAAAATAAAGACATAAACAAGCTATTAGGTCCCCTACTATACTGTTTGGCTAGAAATACCAAACAGATCATGCATTGTAGCATCCCATAAACCCCTCTGTTTCAAAAGTGCTGATTCTCTGTCTGAAAAAAGTGGCAAAAATCTGATCAGCTCATTTTCAGACAGGTTTTTATATAAATGGATCAGGACAAAAAGTGAGTGAATCTTTTTTCCTGAAACTTTCAGAATCTCTTTACACAGCGGGGACACATGTTTATGTATAAAAGACATGAAAAAGTGGATTTTGCATAATAGGTCCTTTGTCCGGATTTACACAATGTTCACTTTAGAGAAAGTGCTAACACTTTGCTTTTCTATATTTTAATGAACTGATCATTTATAAGTCAGTTCAACAGGGATAATGTAAAGTAAAATAATTTAAAGGGCACCTATCATGCAAAATGCACTTTTTGATGTCTTTTATACATAAATATGTGTCCCCGGTGCGTCGGGGAACTCACGCAGCGTCAGAAAATAAAACCCTTTCTCTTTTCCTCCGTACCCAAATCTTTTAAAAATGGGGATACAACGAGCGGATACAGATTTGCTGCCAATATGACGTCAAATCGGTGGCGGATCCACAGAAAGTTGCTATCAGAAACAATGCCTGACGTGTTTTGGACGTAATCTCATCTTTGTTTACATTAGCAAGCCTCGCTAACACTCAGAGCTAACCTGTACTGTAGAGCACATGTGTTTAAAAAGCAGGAAATAAAAAATGGAACTCACCTTGTGATAAACCCGCAAGAGAAAAAGCATTTGAGCTCCATACTGTTTCAGAAATAATCCTTGATGCGGTTTAGAACAGGATGGCGTTTTATCACAGCAGAATTTAACTTTATCTCCGGTAGAATTCTGATCAGGCATTAGCTCCGCCTCCTCTTTTCGTTTTTTTTCAAGCTAAGGACCCAAAATCCGTGTTTCTCTAACAGGGCTTCAAAAGAGGGGTATGAGCAGTATGAGGCATGGCTACAATGGGTGATCTGTTTGGTATTTTAAGCAAAAAACTTCACAGACATGTTTTGTATAGGTATGGCCCTCCAATATATTTTTCTAATATAGCATAATAGTTCCACTTTAAGTCGATTCTACCCCGCCCCCGTCCTTGATTTATTTTTGTTTCTTATCAGTATTGTTTTGACAAGTAGTTCTCAGTCTGTCAGAGGCAGTTGTCACTTTTAGTTTTTCACATCAGCTCTGCCAGGTGATAAAACTTCCTGTTTTAAAAAGCACTTTTAGGTCCATCCTTTTTACTTTCCATCATCATTTTCATGTGTTTGCAGTTTTTCAAGCAAACTAAACAACGAAAATAATTTGCTTCACAAACACCGGTTTTATTCCCTACAACATCAAGCATTTACAAACAGTGCTGATCGGAGCCTCACTCACGCTTGTTTCTTTTCACAAATTGATAACAGTTATTTATTATTTTTGTTATTTTGACCAGGATATGTTCTGAGCTGACATCTTTTTTTATTAAAAAATAAACCTTTTATTGTCCTCTGGTGGAAAAACTAGGTAATTGCAACACTTAAAAAAAGCCTCAAACACACACAAACACCAGTGCAATACAAACATTTAAATGTCCAATAAATCGCTGTCAAATATGACTAATGACAGCACATCAAAATATCCATTGAGAGATAATGTTAATTTATTTTAAAGCTTTCACTGGCTGCATTCATCAGGGGATGACATGTTTAGTCTTGTTGTATTTGCACTTTAGGCATTTACTGTATGTGTGTTTGGTTATCTGTTATCATCATTGTGCTTTGTGCTGCCAGGATCTTATGATACACTTATGGCACAGGATACCTTTTTTTAAGGTTTAATCCTCCCAAATTGAAACATGTGAAAGGATGTGTTGTGTCCTGTGCATATAAATGCTTTAGTCAGCTAAAGAAGCATGTGGTAATAGTGTATAAAGCTTACGGGCTCCATTACCATTACCTGAGAGGAGTTCAGGTTAATCTTCATGTCCTAGTTGACCTTCCTCCTTTGATTAGCAATCCTCTCTGTATGTGTCTGTTACAGGTAATTTACATTACATTACATTTCATTTAGCTGACGCTTTTATCCAAAGCGACTTACAATAAGTGCATTCGACCAAGAAGATACAAACTTGAAGAAAACAGAATCATATAAGTACATTAGGTTTCATAGAGCCAAACCATAATTTAAAGAAACAAACACAAACAGTGCATCAAGTGAAAGTGCTTCTTCTAAAATATGGTGGTCTTTTTTTAGTGAGAGAACAAATAATCTGAAATTCAGAAATACAATAGCTGCACAGTCACTCCTGAAGTAATGGTTATTATGGCAAAAGATTCACCTAAACCCAGTCAGGGAAAACATGACAGCGGCAAGTCATGGACACACTCATTCTTAATATATGCTCCAATATGTAATGCTTTGACACATGTTTACATAAGCTGGTTAACATTAGCTCTGAAGATTCAGGTTCCGATGTTACAGGAATTGGCGTTCAGTGAGAGCAAGAAACAAATGGAAGAGATGTATCTGTGACTGTGCTTTGAAGTGAACTAGGCCTACAGTGTATTTTCTAAAAGCTCCACATTGGGGCGCCACAGGATATATCCTAAAAATATTGGCTTCTGCTTTATTTAAACTCAGCCTCAACCTCATCTCCAACAAATACAAGGACTACTGACTGAATAAATAAACTACTGTCAGAACCAACTATCATTTCTGAATTGTACAACTTTTAAGGGAAGTCAGAGATCATTTGCTTATTGTATAACATGAAAATAGACAGAGCACATGAAGAAATCAATGTCTGTCTCCTTCAAAATGACTTACTTCAACTGAAGACTTTTGGAAAACATTTCATCTGTTTATTGTGTATCTATTTAAACTGCATAAGCAGTACATTTTAACTGATATCTAGGACCACAATACATTAATACTTTTTTTTAAAGCACTTATTAAACAGAAAACTCAAGTCTTTCGAATCATATTGATTTGTAATGACAGAACAAAGCATCTGTGAGATATATGGGAAAGTATAGCTCTGGCGTCTACTGTATTTTGACACCAGTTGATAGGATTAGGGTTCATTTTTAATATTTTAGAGGCTGAATTTAAAAAGGAGCCCAAAGGCGAGTCAGCAAACAAGTGATTGCTTTTGATCTCTACTGTCAACTACAAAAAAGGAAGTAATTCAATAATGTCAAATTTAATGTAAATGTGGCACACAAACATTTGTTTCTGGTGCCTACAAATCTTTACATTTCTGTCTGATAAGAACATATTAACAAACAGTTTAGTCAATGTTTTAACTTTTTAACTACAGATCAGCCTGGATGTGCAGCAGACATTAGTGTGAACGAACTGCGAAATATTGCCTTTAGCAATGACTGTTTTTCATGTCACTTACCTTCAATTCAAGAGCTGAGATTTTTCAACTATTCAATGACTGTCACACAACACGTCCAGACACAACACAGAACACATTTACACTGTGTCCATGCTGCTGTACAATGTATTGTGTGCACATGTTGCACTTGCAGTATCTTTGTTCAACACACAATTCTCAGCCATGATCAAGTGCAAAACCTTGATACAGTTTACATCATCACATGAACTGACAATTTAAAGGACTGTGTTCAAAGTGGAAGATTAGAGCATGTGAAACATCACTGATGTGGAAGAACTCAGATCAGGATCTCTGTCCTTTCTGCTCCACGTCAACGACACATGCCTAAATAAATGTTGTGTTTCATAGTCCTGGATCATAAATGTGTAAATGATGACAACATTTTTTTAATTGTATGTAATATTAAGTGACACATTAAGACAAACGGACACAGAGAGAATCCACATTTCAAATTGTTTTGTTGTTCAGATGACAAAAAACAAAGAAGAACTAAAATAAGACATTTTGACAAAGAGAAACAAAGTTTCTTATTGAATAACATGCATATCGAATTACAGCAAGTTAGCTACTGTGCTAAAAGTTGCTTTGAGGCTACATTTGAACTGGGAGGCCAAGACTTTTACTGAACAAATGTCTCACAAACCTTTACTTTTTTCTTTATTTTATGATGTTTTAAGTTGTCTTTAAACACATATTTTACACTGTGAGAAAAGTTGTTGAATATCTAGGAGTCTACAAATTCATAACAAAGCCAAACTGAGTACTGAACGATGTGGTCACTAACAAGAAGAAGAAGAAGAAGATATACTTTATTAATCCCTTACAGGGACATTTCTGTCCCCACTCTGTTGTGTTTACACACATTACACACACAGGGGAGGATATACATGCACAAACACAGAGGATATACATGCACACACACAACCACATGCAGATAGGAGAGGTGGCAGAGCAGAGAGGCTGCCAGGTACCCGGCGCCAAGGGAGCAGTTTCGAGGTTATGTGCCTTGCTCAAGGGCACCTCGGCAGTGGCCTTGGAAGTGAACTGGCACCTCTCCAGCTACCAGCTCACTCCATATTTTGTTTTGGTCAAACAAGACATAGAGGGTCTAAAAGAAGCATTTTTTTCCTGATTTTGGAGCTGAATCAATACTGTATTTTTGAAAATGACTTATCTAGCAGTCTGCTTTTGTTCTTTTGAAACTTTAAAATTTCAATTTTCCTGCATTGGATCATTAAAGCTTTGTTTATCTTCCGACATTATTCAGATTCATTTATAGTCATACTGTATACATACACACTAAAGCTTCAGCAACCAGGGAGTTGAACATCTGGATCCTCTCTGGCTGACGGTTCTGGACCCAATTCAGACTATTAGGTCACCTCTAAAAAGTAAAGAGATTTTTAAAGATGACTGCTGATTTCCTACAGACATTAAAGCCTAATCATTACCAGATCCCAATCAATTCTCCAGTTTGGAGAAAGGTGTTGAGGCAGCTGCAGTATTGTGTAATTAGCCAACTGTACAATCAAGCCATCCATCTGCAGAGGACTACATAAAAGCTAGAAAAAAAGACAGGCAACTTCTTGGCTTCTTGAGACCTTTTCACTGACACACAGTTACCTAGAGTCCCTAGGATTTATCAGAAGCCATAGCTGTAGCCCGATAGCTGGAACCCATATTTCGTTTGTCTTTCACAGCAATGTCATATTCAAAATATGTCATTTTTAATTGTTCCAGAAATATAAAGTGCTTTGTGTAATCTACACCAATAGATGGCAGCAGAATGCAAACAACAGTTTCTTTCAATGCCTTTTTGTTGGTATTATGAATTTATTTTTAAATTAATTAAATCGTTCAGAAGAAGTTGACTTAAAAGAGTAGATTTTGCAGCCCTGATCTCCTCAGGCAGGTCGTTCCAAAGTCCAGGAGCTCTGACAGCAAAGGCTCTGTCTCCTTTTGTGTACCTGGACCTTGGAACGACCAACAGCGATGCCTCTGAGGATCAGAGTTTGGATGAGCTGGAGGAGGGACAGGGATGTGTTGCAATAATCCAATCTACTGAAAGAATGGATGACAGTTTCAACATTTTTGGTAGATAGGAAAGATTTGTCTGAGGTGATGAAAGCATGATTGAACCATTGAATTTACATGGATGTGTAGACTGTGTTGACGGCAATATCAACATGACCTATGATAATAAATTCAGTTTTGTCCGCATTTAGCTGCAGGACATTTTGGGACATCCATTTGTGGATATCCAGGAGGCAGATTAACAGTGATAAGGGAGTGGTTTGCAGGGTCACAGCTTAAATAATATTGTGGTGCCATTTGTCAACCAGGTAGGTGCCCAGGTTTTTCTGTGACCCACAGTCAACTACTTACAACTAAATGTGTTGTGCAAGTATATTTACTCCACTGCTGTACTTAAGTATTTTTCCTTAAGTTTTTCCATTTTATAGTACTTTATACTTCTATTCCAAATTGAGGGAAATATCACACCACTGAATTTATTTGAGGATAACTTTACTTTTTCAGAACATTATGATCAAATAAATAAATAAATCAAATATAATGCAAATGCCAGATATGTAATCCTGCAATATGTTTTCAGCACCAGCAGTGATCAATTTATCACAAATACTTTGTTCAAAAACTGACACCCAACTCTTTTTAATTACATTTATTAACATTGCATAATACAAAACATTACTTGCATTCCTCTGTTGAGCCATAGCCTTCCTTGAATTCATTCAAAGGCAGCCTTGAAGAGTTTAATATCCAGTGTACGCAGTAAAGGACATTTAAAGACATCTTCACAACAGAACATCTTTCATTCTTCAGGCATTTTTGCTTTGCACACAAAAGCAACCAATCAGTTCAGTGAAAATGACAAGTAGCATATAACTGGCCCAGATTTGCAATAACAGAAAAGGCAAAAGGTAAACAATATCTGATATGGACCGCATACTTTTTAAGTAAATATATAAAAACACTGATTGTTGGGTATCCAATATAGAGTATGAAAATATAAATAAAACTTGTCTTGTTCATTCAATTAAAAATCTTTACAAAATAATAAACTAGCGATAAGAAATGTATATTGTTTAATGACCTACTTCAAAACTTGTATACATTCCTTTAAATAAAAAAATACTTTGGAAAAAGAAAGAATTATGATGTCTGACGTTTCCTCGAGGAGGTAGATTCTCTCCTGGTTTGATGACTTTCACATACCAAATTGTACCTTGTCCTTAAACTTATGACTTATTTATGTATGAGCCATAATCAATTCAGCTTCACAATAGCCAGGCCAGAAATGCAGTTAATATTGAGATTAGTTAAATCACTAATTTGTCACTATTGAGCATAAATGTAATCTGAATAAAGCTGTTTGCAAAGGTACTGTGATGCATAGCAATATCAAATCAAAACAATGCATACATGTTTGTGGACATAAAGACCCGCTCCAGAAAGGGACTTTGGTGCCACCTGTCGTTAGATTGCTTCAAAAATAAATCTGTTTCATACAGGTTTGAATAATATATTGCTCACTGCTTTGACTTTGAGTTGCAGCAGGTGAGTCTGCACTGAAGCTTTAATCTTTAAAGCTCAATAAAAACTGCCCATTTCTGGCAAGGCTAGTGGAAGTAGGACTGCAGGGTACCACGGCGGCGGACATCGGTTGTCCAGCAGTGGAAGCCCCCCCCCAGGGAGTTAGCATGGCGAATATTCACCTTAACGCTCTTGATACCTGCAAAATAAAACACATTGATGCATCAGATACATTTCCTTAAAGATCATATTTATCATGACATTTTTAATGGACATGAAAACTGAGGACATTTCTCAACCATGGATTTTATGGCCTCTGGTAGAGTTCGGACATCAAATGATCCGTTAAAGTCTTAACTGATGCAAAAAAAGAAACTGGAATGACTCTAATGTGAAACTCACCGAGGCTCTCAAACATTTTTTGAATGGTGACTTCATTGGCATCAACCATGACACGCTTTTCATCCAACATCAGGACGTTCATGGACAGCCACTTGGAGGACATCCACAGAGGATGATCTAGAACAAAAAAGGAGAGGAAAGGTCTATCTTCTCTGTAAGTATTCAAAATGGTTTTCTTATGTAAGAAAATATAAGTTTTACTACTAACCATCAGGAATCAGAGGGGTCGGAGGTTTCACAACAGTCCACCCAGCCTTGTGGAACATGTCAACCTGAAACAGACAGGGGACAAAGAGCGACAATGAACATCAAACACATTTAAAGTATCAGTCTCCAGGAAGTTAGCATAGGACACTGAGAGATATTAAAAATAGCCTTTCATGGTCCAACAGTACCTGGTGACATGGACGATCAGGGTTTGACAGCACCAATCCTGGTCCAATAATGTTAAAAGTGGCATCAATGTGCATGGGGTTAGGATCCTTGAATGAGATGATGTGGACTTTGTAGTCTGGAGCCAGATGGCGGCGCATCCACTCAATACCCATGTAATTTGTAACCTGCAAAACAACACAAGTGAGTTACCTCTGCTGCAAAACTTTGAACCTGTATTGGAATAAAACGTTGTCTTGTCTCACCTTTCATTAATTCACACTTGATCATTTTGAGCGATAACATATTTAACTATAGACTGGTAAATATGTACCTATTGGGCTTTATGCAAATAAGTTATACGTTTGACAGCATTCATACCTGACTCCTCTGGACAAAAATGTCCCTCCCAGCCCGGATGAAGTCGGCAGCATCAAAGCACGGCTCGTGCTCTGTGGTCACAAACTTCCCCTCGGCAGCCAGCTTGTGTCTGTCCTCCACTGTGCGGATGGGGTAGTCCTGAAAGGCACCAAGCAACAATAATCAAGCAATAATCAGATAACAAAACATAACTATGGTGACGTGAAGAACATAAACAATCACTTCCAACGCGGATTTGATCAAAAATACAATCTCAAACCTTTAAAAAGTTGTACAACACAGCCAACACTTGAAACACTCAACTTGCGGTGCTAATCTCACAAGATAAGGCCTCACCTGATCGTACAGTTCATCGGCCATCGTGGGTTTAGGAGCAGTTGTCCATTTAGCACCGTTTCTGAAGTACTCCTTGATCAAAGGTCTGTAGGCTCTGTACTCAAAGAAGCGAGCCCTCCAGGCCATAGGAGCCTCAATAATCTCATTCCCCACAACCAGAAGGATGTCTCTGGGCATGGCCGCATACATGCCTGTAACAGATTCAAGAATCATTGTAATATTATAAATAATAAGAAATAAATGTAGTGTAGTTTAAAGTGCAATATGTGCCTTTGAATGTTGTGCAGTAGAAATATAAAGAAGCAGTAATTGAAAAGATAAGTAACTTAAAATTGCTTGTTGTTTTGGGGATTTTGGGTGTTTCTAAGCGTCTTCATTGATTACAGGCATTGAGCTGTGAACTTCTTTACACAGACATGTTATCCATAATGTTGATGTTATTTGAAAAGAGATTTGTGTAATTCTTTACCTGGTGATACGAAGTCTGGAGTTTTGTATTCCATGGACCAGTCCATGGGTTCTGGTCTCCTTACATTGACGCCCTCATGACGAAGAATATTGCACATTTCCTCAATCTCAGCAACAGCTTTTTTCAAGTGGTCCGCAGGAAAAGACTGGCCCCCATGCTTCATATAGAAAGGCCAATGCTTCTCATATGTGTTAGCCTGTTGATAAGTTCACAACATGACAACATGGAGTTATTTTAATGGCCTACACCTGAGCATTATATAAGGTTTACAGATGCACTCTTGACATTTTGGCTTACTTTCACTTCCACGGTGAAGGGAGGCACATGGGCATTTTCAGCGCGACCCACAATCACCTCCTCCAGAGGGTCCCATTCATTGTGGCTGCAGACAGGACATTCCTGCTCCACAGGCTCAGTAACATGGTCAGCTGCATCGTGCGACTGTGCAGCTGCTGCACTGGAGGTGCTCTGCAAGGCCCTCTGCACCCATCCAGTCACTGACCGGCCAAGCTGAGGGGGGGAAATGGATCACAAGCTGTTTAATTTTCTTCAGCACCAAAAAGGTCTAAGGTTTTGTGAAATGACAGTATACTGAGAAAGGCTTTTGTACAAAATAGGCCTATTTCTAAATAAAAGTAACAGACCTTTTCAGGCAAAATATGGCATAAATATATTAATACAATCTGTGTATTAGTCCCTAACAAAACTATCTGTGTGTAATTACTTTTGCTGATTTTTTTGTTCGTTTATTGTATTATAGTTACAGATACTTAGTGAAAATTGAAGTGATAGAGGCAAATAAATGTTGGCTTGCAGTTTACATCCAAAAATGCCAGTTCAAACAAGGTTAAACAGTGTAGGCTGATAACAATAACGGTTTAGAGATAGCAATGATAAATGCATCAGTACGGTATCTTTTTTGCTGTTAAAGTACTCGTGTTAATAAGAAGCCGCTATCTCCACAGATAGCTCAGGGGCAGCTCCAGTGTCACTGAGTCTGGGAATGCATCTGCTGCAGATAGCTGTTCACTGTCACTCAGGGACCAAACACGCAGAGAGTCTTTCAGCAGTTGAAATAAATTATTGGACTGAGTCTAAATTGATATAATCAGTGTTTTTCCCCAAAAAATGTATTTGAATCAAATATATGCTTAATCAGACAACAGGAAAAATAAAAAAAAATTCAACATTTGTCTTTATTCACAATCAGCGATATGTGCCTATTTTAACAGATTTTCTTTTACTTTTTCTAAAAGATTTGGAAGAAAAAATAAGAAGTCATGAGACCACCATAATACCAACCATGGCTCCGATCAGATGGGCAGCCTCGGCCCCCCTGCTACCTCCTCTCAGACACCTGACTCGCAGCATTGTCCAATGTAATAGTGAGTGTGTCAGTGAAAGCACACGACAGCGCAGGATCCACCTCTCAGTTTGCTAAAAAATGAAGACGCCTCAGCAAGCAGCCACCTTTATAGCCCTGGGTCTACGTGCCTCTAAGACTATTGGTTGCCCTTATGTTGTGGGGCAACGTGACCTATAGAGAAACCTTTCTGAAACTCAATCCCTGACACCAGCAAATTCTTATCAATGGCTACTTCTGCTGAAAAGTTTCCAAGGCCAACATCTGAAATGTATCTGGAATTGCGTTCCATTGTGCAGAAACAACAATTTTCTGCACAATGGAACGTTTTTATTAGTGCCAAAGAAACCCTGAGGAAAATAATAAAATAAATTACTTGATAATCTATTTTTGGCCATTGCATACAAAGGCTGAAAACAAACATTTTTAGCATTTTAGTAATTGAATAGGATATTTAAAATAGGATTTATTTGAAATGAAGTCTTTCAATCTATTGTTTTCTTAGTCCTTTTTGATTTCTTGTGTTGGTGACCGGTTAAGGAAATTATATTATATATATTTGATAAAGCTACAAAACAAAAGGCTTAACTGTGTTACTTTCAGTGAGGTGATGTTAATATTCAGTTTGTCATGCTTGCTTATTTGACTTTTTCGACTCCAGTGTCATATAACTACATTAACAGTATAACACTAAGAATTGTATTACATGGGAACATTACCAAACACAGTATGGGAAGCAGGTGAAGGTTGAAAAGTAGAGGATTATAGCCTAATCAAAGAAACAGATAGCCTTTACACGGCTGGGTCACCACATGCTCCTCTGGACTGTGCTCTCAAGAGTTTCACAACCCTACGACCTCAGTGACTGCTGATACCCTGCCCTCTAAAAAAATATCTGGCTGATGCCCAAGGTTCACAGTATATGCACTGAGGATGCCTTTGGCTCCCAGTAGCATCATTTATTGGTCCAATAGTCAAAAGAGCAACTTTGTGGACTAAACTTATATTATTTCATTTAATAATAATGGTTATTTACACAGTAAATTTCTCTGAGTAAAATTGACTCAAATTGAAGAAAATTTTACTCTAAAAATATAACATTTGGTCCCAACCTATATAGAGTAAAATGTACTCTTTGTTCAGAGTTGTATTTTTAGAGTTCATTTTACTCTATTATGTGCTTAGATTTGACTCTGCTTAATGGTTATTTACTCTATGTAGTGTATATTAAAAACAACTCTACTGCCATTTTACTCATAATAGAAGGTAATTTTACTCCCAATCGAACGTCATTTTACTCAGAATAGAATAAATGAACCATAATGATCTTTACAATAAAAAAGGTCAATAAACCAAATTGCTTAAGGAACATGAGTGGGCGTGTGTGAAGCTGACCATTGAGCAGCCCGACCAAGCAAGGAGGCAGAGGCAGAGGCAGAGAGTTCAAATACAACCCGGTGTGGGCATGTATTCCTCTTTGTGGTACAGGATACAGCCTCAATATGACTCACATGAACACAGTCACCAGCCACCAGGACCTCACACACACACACACACACACACTAACAGGAAAACAGAACCTAAATACACACAGGACTAATCAAACCAACAAGACACAGGTGAGGAGGGAGTAGAAAACACAGGGCACCAGGTGAACGCAATCACCAGCAACAGACAAGACGGGAGGGGGAACACTTTTCAAACTACAACAGGAAACAGAGACAGACAAACTAAAACATAGACAGATCGTGACAAATATATGCATAAATGACATATAATCACATGCTTCCTGTGCAATGTTTTAGCGTGGAACAAATGAATATACTTCGCCAATAATGAAGCTATATAATCCGTAACGGAGACCGAGATCAATGGCCCCAGAGATCACCTCCGTTACAGCGTGGTCATGGTTTAACTCCAATAGAATTGACTCTGCATTTTTGATCGCACTCTAGAAGCTATGAGTAATAAATACACTCCAAAATGATTAAATATCACTATTTCAGAGCAAAATAGTAATTACTCTGGAAAAAATACTCACCAATATTTCCTGTGTACCTTTACCTTTATCCATACAGCACCTTTAAAAAAACAAAAACAGGACAAAAACACATTTCAGCACTGCAATGAATTCAGTCCAGTCTTTATGTGATACAACTTATTTATAAATATAGTCATATTGTGTGTTTTTTCTGTTACTGTTTGAGCCTGTGCTTGTGTATGCATTTGCATAATTTTCCAATCTTTGATCCAAATTCAAACACAAGGATGGTACCATTACCAGTGGCAGAAAGTGACTAAGACCATTTACTCTAGTTTCTATCTCTGTTTATTCAAAAACTGAAGCTACTGTACAAGTTACTAATAAACACTTAAAAAAAACAATACATGTAGATAAAACCAGTGGTCCTAATCTTTTTTGACCTATGACCCCTACTCAAGAAGCCGTGGTGGGCCCTTCAATGACATTTCAGATGTCTGTGAGTATTTCACAGTTCTATTTGTTCTGTTTTTTAAAGCAAAGATAAGAGAAAAGTCAAACGAACAATTACACATTTAACATCTTTCGACTCCACAAATAAGTCTTGTGACCACTTGGAGGGACCCTGGACTAAACAGCAAATAAAGGAATAATACAGGACTTCAATTTGAGAGAAACTCCAATGTGACTTCAGCTGATCCTGACACTGTATACCCCCCCCCCCCCCCAAACAATGAAACAAAAAGAATGTCAACAAAACATGTTTTTTTACATTTTAATTGTGTTGTTCTCTAAGACCACTTCCATCTTTACTTTTTTGTAATTAAACAACGATTGGCTATGGAGTAACAATAGTACCTTCAATTGTCTAGCTACCCTACATTATTCAAATATTTTACCCTTTCCATGATCCTAACCTACTTTTCAGAAATTGCCCCGCCCCCCTGCACCAAATCCCTTTTGCAACATTCCACATTTTCCTGCAGTGCTGCACTTTTTTTCTTTTTTACAGGACTTGTGGCTTTTAAAACGAGACAACATGATGATGTATTTGATTTCAGTCATTTTAGCAAGTATTCTCATCATTCCGTTCGCAATAAAAACGTTGTCCCCTTATCTTTGGTTGGATATTCTGTATTTAAAGGATCTGCTGCGGATTTTAGTGACGTTCGTTTCGAGGAGAAGAAGGAGACCTTTCTTCTTTGTTTTGGACCGTTTCTTGGAGCAGACCGCGGCACATCCAGACAAGTCGTTCATTGTGTTTGAAAATGAACACTTCTCGTACTCTTACACAGATAGAAGGAGCAATAAAACAGCCAACGCGCTTCTGGCACAGCCTGGGTATAAAGCTGGGGACACCGTGGCACTTTTCATGGGCAATGAACCCGCCTTCATGTTTATCTGGCTGGCCCTGGCTAAATTAGGCTCTCCTGTGGCTCTTCTCAATCACAACATCCGCACCAAGTCTCTGTTGCACTGCTTCAACTGCTGCAAGGCCACAGTGCTGATAGCAGCCTCAGGTATGCATCTGGTAGTGTTGTAATGTGTTAATGACAACAATTTAAGGTAGCTGTGACTTGAGCCTTGCTTTCAGACTGAATGTCAAACTTTATTCCATGGTTTAGGGTTTCATTTTGAGCCCAGTCATGCCTAAAAGTCCAAGCTGTTTTTAGAAGAAGAAGTTAAAAGTTGTGGAATATATATTTTTTGGCCATCACAGTTTAGGAAATCCATCTCAGTGGTCCTATAATGACTTGATCTCATGCAGATGATGTTTCATCAGAGAAGAAAAGGGTGTTGAGGAATTATCCAGAATGCACACCCTGCCAGATTATATTAACAGCGTCATGTGGAAGGAAAGGAGGCTTAAACAAGTTGTTAAATGGGGATGGCGTACTCGGTTTATACTTAATATTGACCATTTGAATGTAAAATGATGTTAATATCGATATTGAGATTGTATATTGAAGCCTTTAGAAAAAAATACAGAGATTTGGATTTCCTTTGTTGTTGTTGTCACTGTGGTCAGTGACAGTTTTTAACTAAATCTGGGATGCTAACCACATTTATGCTCTCAAAATACGACCGTTGACATACCAAGTTTCACTGACCAATGTCAATCTTCTCAGTCTCTGTTGTCTGCAGTTACAATTAAAGTGAAAGTCAAGGTTGAAAAGTGTTGTTTGATCATACTTAATCATACATTTTAGTGGGAAAATATCAGCATTCTGACCGGAAACTAGTAAATTTTGGTTATGAGTATACTGTATGTTTCTTTGCAGAGCTAAAGGCAGCAGTGGAGGATGTGCTGCCCACCCTGACGGAGCAGGGCGTCACCGTGCTCCTGATGACCAAACACTGTGACACACCTGGGATCGAGAGTTTTTCTGATAAAGTGGACGAAGCATCAGATTCCCCGCTCCCTCGATCCCTCAGATCACACATCACATTCAAAAGTCCTGCGGTTTATATTTACACCTCGGGAACAACAGGTATCTGAGTGGCGGCGTTTCATGTGATAATCTGTTCCCACAACAATATGTCTGTTCTTGAGTTTAAAGGTGTGTGCTGCATGTGTCTTGTTGTATTTCAGGTCTCCCTAAGGCAGCTGTGGTCAATCAGAACCGCCTCTTAACAGCGTTGGCTGTTTTGGCTTCAAATGGTGTGACGTCTAGCGATGTTATCTACCTCAACCTGCCTCTGTACCACACAGCGGGATTCATAATAGGCTTTATCGGCTCCATTGAGACAGGTGAGACCATTTAAGTGAAGCAGAGAGCGCAAAACAACTTGTGTGAGCTTCCTTGCAGACGTATGAATACTTATTTTACTTAGCTAACATTGAGTTCTTCAGTTGTTTCCTGTATAGTCTTTATATTTGTATTTTAGGCCAAACTTCAGACTGCAGCAAGAGGTTAAGCCACCAAAGGTTTACCCACTAGTCACTGTTTTACGTCTATGAGTTCACGGTTACTGCAATAGGCTCCCTCTGCAAAGCATTTAAGTCTAACATGTATGTACCATTTACCAAACAAATCCTTATGATGACCATTTCAAAGAAAATGGTTTGAAATCTAAAAAAGGAACTCTAGAAGAAAAGACCTGATGACTAATTTATGGCAGATCCGGGTTAAATGTATCATCATACATCTTTGACATATAGTCATTGTCCTAAGAAAACCACGTGTTGCTAATTATTTTGCTAAGGAAACTATTTTAAAAAGCCATTGGATTAGCTTGAATGTGTTGTCAAAAAGCTAACAACAAGTCTGAGTAAGATCATGAAGTGTGCAAACTTAAAGATACATGGTTTTCACAGGAAAACAACGATCCTTCACAATTCTAATGAATGCCAATACATAATCCAATTCAACACACTATTTGTTATATTTAATGAGCACCACGATTTCCTAGCTCGGCAAAAGACAGGCAAAAGACCAAAGATGTTAAACAAGAAAGGCAATGGGAGTGGGAGGGAATCGAAAGAAGCTATTACTTGTAAAAAGGATCGGTATTATGTCATTCTTTAAAGTCAATCCTCAGCACTCTCAAACTGAATTGAACTTGTTTTTATACTGCACACAAAGTGATGTCCTCCTCCTCTTGCCTCTGGGTTTCCTTGCAAAACTAAATGAGTCCTTTGTTGCTTGAAACCAGTAATCTGACCAAACCCAGATTAGCTCTACTTTCTAACTGCTTCTTATTAAACAGACTAAAGTTCACACCGCTGTGATTTTCTGGGTAAGCAGCCTGAGTTACAGAAAGATATTCATGAAAATCCAACACTGTTTGAGAACAATCACCTTCCTGTTGTGCACTACATGCATTTAAATGGAATACACTTTATTATTGTTGGCATTATTTTCGGGGGGAAATATTCTAGTGGTAGAAATAACTATGGATACTGCAAGTAATACAATCGTAATGTTTACATGACAATTACAACTACCTGAAATATATTGATAATAATAACAAATATTGATAAATATCCCTTATAGGCATTACATATTTGTAAAAGGACATCACCTGTATCTCTACTTTCATAACTGAACATATCTTTGCCTCATAATCAAATTTTCTTTCTTTTTTTGCTGTCTTATTTTGAAGGGTCAACTATTATTCTGAAGAGGAAGTTCTCTGCCTCTCAGTTTTGGGACGACTGTAGGAAACACAGTGTGACTGTCGTGCAGTACATAGGAGAGGTGATGCGTTACCTCTGTAGTACACCGAAGGTAAATGCTTTTCACTGTTCCCAGATCTTCACACAGTACTATTAAACTTAGCAGTACTACAGAACAGGAATGGAAGAATATTTGTTGCTGAAACTGCCCAGTTATTTACCTAAAGATTTGTATGGAGCTCAGTATCACTTTGTCCCTGTTAGCCTCTGCAGTGGTGTCTTGGTCATCATGTGACATTTATAGTTCAGTTACAGTAAAGTCTGAGGTGAAACACAAACCAGGGGCGTTCCCGTAAGGCTGGCAGTGGATAAATGTCAACCTCCCTCCAAATAATTTGATTGATAATGCCTATCGAAGGAATATTCCTTTTGGACAGCATTTAAGGCTAGACTAAAAAGTTTCTAATTGCTGTTTTAGTTATATGTGAAGGAAGTTACACGTAAACCGCCATACCTGATGCCTTATTTAAAAAATATATATACATACATAATGTTGACAGATTGATTTATCGATCCTGCCCTTTAACCTTAATTGTATTTATTCATCAAATGGAAGTATTTGAATAACTCCAGAGAGTACAACCCAAACAAGCTCACACAGGATCTTTGGCTGTGGGACGCATGCCTCCTCTCTCTGCCGCCTCAACTGTTGTAAAACTCCTCGGAGCAAGACAGCTGCTGAGGCAGAGCTGAGAACCGGCTGCAACAAGCTGCCGCTGAGACAGATCCAGTCAGAGATAACTTTCCAAATCAGTACATTCCCACAGAGCAGCACAGCTGGCTTACCAAAATAGAAATCGTTAAATCACAACTATCGGGTTCCAGCCTCCTGCGTCATTATCTGCGGGGGTTCGAACACCATGCAACTTTATGGATGCATGTCAAAATGAAATGCTGAAATATGATCAATATACATTTGTAAGAGGAGGAATGCAACATTTCCACATCTCTTAAGGCGGACTCTGCTGTATTTAAGAGTACTACATTCTACCTACATGTATGGCCATTCAGAGTATCTTATTGCATCACATGAAGTGCAGTCTCAATTTACCGTGTGACCCTGTTAGAGTAGGAGGAGGTGGCCTGTCTGTATCTGGTCACCACTAGGAATAGATGCTGGCCTTTACTAAGGAAGACCATATTAAGTAACTTGGCAACCAAACATTTTACATAAGCATCATTGCTTGTGTAAACTGTTTTATGCAAATTCTTACATACAGGCAGGGATTAGCCATACTTGATCTGAGAGGATCCTATTGAGAGGTGTAATTAGATGACTGAAACTGTGACTGTGTGACACATATACAGTATGTTTGTTTTATAAAGAAATACTTAACCCCACAATGAGTATTTGTATATCAAATAATTACACTGTGTTGACACTTAAATTCTTGAAGAACATTTTATTTTTCTCGCATGCCTTGCAAAAAAATCAAAAACAGAGAAAGGTCTTGATGAATTGAGGAGTAGTAGAAGTAGCGTGAACATGTGGAAGGGTTTAAAATACTTAGTTTTTTTTATTAAAGGTAGGGTAGGTAAGTTTGAGAAACCGGCTCAAGATACACTTTTTGTTATATTCCATGGAATGCTCTTAACATCCCGATAGCAATAAATATCTTAAGTGCTTTGACAAAAAATCCATAAAGAAATGTCATCTGTGGAAGCCGTAGAGCTGTAAAAAGCACGACCAATCATTTTAGCCGGCCCGGCTAAAATAACTGGATGGCCTACCTGCCTGTCAGCCTTCCATCTGTGCACAAACTTATCTCGTGCCCTCATTGGTCATGTGCGCGTTCGTGTGTGTTGGAGGAGGGGCTCTGTAAGGAAGTGGCAGATTTTTTCCGGCTGTGTATTTTCAAATTCTAGCGATCTCGAGCTGGTTTCTCCAAAATTACCTACCCCACCTTTAAGCATACAACTTTATAGATGAGACTTGGATTATAATGCACAAGTTGTGTGAGAGATGGTAAACAGATGTGGTTTCAAAATATTTAGTTGTTAAACACAGCCGTCTTTTACTTCAAATGTTATTTCTTTGTTGACTGAGGTATGCAAGAAAACATTCTTAAAAAATTGTCTTCAAGAATGATGTATCAAATCCTATATTTCTGTAGTACTGGCAAAATTCGTGATCTAATGTTTTGTTTATGTGACAATGCAGAGAGAAAATGACAAGGACCATAAAGTAAAACTGGCCATTGGCAACGGTATCAGAGCAGAGGTATGGAAAGAGTTTCTCAATCGCTTCGGGAACATAGAGGTCCGCGAGTTTTACGCCTCCACCGAGGGAAATGTGGGATTTGTCAACTACGTAGGAAAAATTGGAGCTATTGGGCGAGTTAACTTTTTCCATCAGGTAAGAATAATATTGAAAAAAGCATTCAATTGTCTTTTAGCATTGTAATCTTATACAGGCAACTTAATTGTGTGGATGCAAAACACATAGGTGGCATATTAGAATCCCATGCATGGCTGCCAATAAATAATATGGTAAATATGTTTTATTTTGCTGTCTGCGTAGAGGATGTTTGGCACATAATGAAACAGTGATGTGTTTCTTCCTGTAGAAGCTGTTTCCCTTCTCTCTGATAAAGTATGACACCGAGCGAGATGAACCGATCAGAGATGATAACGGCCTCTGTGTGGAGGCACCCAAAGGTGAGAAAAAGAAACATAAAACTCAATAATAATTATGGATCTTATAGTCATAGGATATTTACTGATGTAGGTGTTTAATGGACAATGGCTGTAAAAGACATGTCTCCTTTTTGTTAAGGTGAGACAGGACTGCTGGTGTCAAAGATCACAGACATCGCTCCTTTCGTCGGCTACGCCCAGAACGAAGACCAAACGGAGAGGAAGAAACTTCGTAATGTTCTCAAGAAGGGAGATCTTTACTTCAACAGTGGAGACCTCATGAGGATCGATAACGACAACTTCATCTACTTCCAGGATCGTGTAGGTGACACATTCAGGTACAGAACTCCTGAGCACCCTGATTTGATTTTGTTCGTAAAGAAAAATTGTTTGTGGTTTCAATACTGCAGGATCAGCAATGTAATAAAACTAAAAAGTTGAAATAAAAAGGGTTAATAGATACATATTTTAAGAATAACAAAAGTGTATCTGCATATTGTGTGAAATGCAATATATACAGAACACATGAGGAAATCTGTGTTTTAAAGGCAATGATTAAAACAGAAAATTAAATATTGAAAGCAAGTCATTGGGAACAAATTGATTAACAAAGTCATGTTAAAATGAATGATAATAGTAAGTAGACCTCTGGGCTCTGCAGGCACCCTATTTGACAGGATTATGAAAGCTGGGTAAACAAAATGTTCACTTCAAATAAAAAAAACAGTAACACAATTAATATAAAGTTTTAACTTTGAGCTTGCAGGTGGAAAGGTGAGAATGTGGCCACAAACGAAGTGTCTGACATTCTGACGATCAGCGATGGTCTCAAAGAAGCCAATGTGTATGGAGTCCAAGTGCCAGGTGACGGCCGTTTCCTCTGCACATTTGACCTCACAGTATGTTTTAAGATCTCATGACTCCCAAATGCCAGAACATTGAAGAGAGACTGATTTGCAAATGAATTGGTAAACGAATGCTTTATCTGTTTCTATTTTGCCCGGTTATGCAGGGCATGAGGGGCGGATAGGAATGGCAGCGGTCACCATGAAGGAAGGCGCACAGTTTGATGGAAGTAGAATATTTAACCATGTGGTTAGCTACCTGCCTTCATATGCCCGACCTCGCTTCATAAGAATACAGGTACGGTTATTTCACAACTCAATTCTCAGCACTACATTTTGAGAAGAAAGAGCACATTAAGTTTGCATAAATTAAAATACCTAGAAAACTGTTTTGTTCTCAAAAAAAGTAAATAACAAATAGTTTGATGCTACCTTATCAATCTGACAATACATATTCTCACTCTGTTTCGAGTGTGAAACAATAATTCTAGGAATCTATTTTTCCAAGTTTGATCTAAATTGTTTTCTTTCTTATGACAAAAGAACCGTTGAAATAAAAAAATGTTGATCTGTAAAAAACAAATGGACCGAACAACGTCTTGGCTGTTCTTTTTTTTTCTTTTGTATGCTGTTGTAATACTCATTTTAGCCACAAGAGTCTGACATTCACCACTAACCCTTGTTCTAAGCAGGACTACAACATTCATGTTTGCTATCCCATTTGTTTCACAGATGAGCAAAACAGTTAAAAACTAAAGATTATCCTGATCTTTTTCCACATGTGTTTTAATCATAAACACAGGAGAGAAAACAGTTAAGATCACACACAAATGGATCACCAGAATTTAGCTCCCTCACTTGCCTCTCAGGGTGTCCGTACCATGTGATTAAAAGCAGATAAAGATATTTCGATACTGTACCTGAATGATTGATTCGTAGTCTTATTCTGTCCAGAATGCCGTGGAGGTGACGGGGACATTCAAGCAGATGAAGGTGAAGTTAGTGGAGGAGAGCTTTGATCCAGGACGTATCCAGGACCCTCTTTACATCCTTGACAATGAAGAGAAGAGTTACATAACGCTGACAGCTCATGTCTACAGCTCCATCATATCAGGAAACATCAAACTATGAGAACGCTCTCTGTGTCCACTAACTGTGCCGGCTTCTCAGTCTGGCATAAACCTCTTTTTTAAAAGCAGTAGATGGATAATCAGTAGTGTAAGATTTGTTTTTAAGGATCCATTTTAGGGGCTAGAGTCGGCCTGTAAGGGAGGGATTGAGTTTTATAATACATTTGTTGACAAGTGATGATATATATATTTTATTTTACAAGCTGGTTTACTGCTTTCAAGTATGAGGACTGCTGCTTTGACTTTATTCAGTTGAGAAATGTTGCTGTATATTTGGTTAAACAGTGAAAACAAACTTGTTAGAGGCTATAGGACTATCTCTCATAGGTAGATATGTATGTGCCTATATATTTTAATATGAATTACTTTGATTCTTACTATACAGCCAGAAATAATATTCATATGCACTTTTGCTCAGGTTTTACTCATCATAACTAAACAATACAAAGATAAATCTCAGTGGTGACATGGAAAAACCACAAGGTGGAGACAAATGCAAACTCTGTGCTTAGTGTAGTGGGGGTATACAGTACAATATTCACTTTATATAAATTAACATGGACAGTGCACTCAAAAATGTCCCCCAGATGTAATTGTTGAACATCTTAACATTCCAAAAACATGAAGATTAATCTGCATGTTGTGTGTCTAAAATATCACTGAATGTTCAACCACTACAGTTTATTTTAGGTGGAATAACTAAAGGATCCAACCATGATAAACAGAGGTACACAGAATACAGACTTTGCTGTCTAATTTTTTTTCACATATATGCTTTCTGTGAACATATATTGATCTTAATGGTATATCTGTTAACCCCTCCAAAAAAGTTAATGACTAGAAAACAAAGGTGCACATTTCTTTCAGGGAGAACAAGTCCTGCAGGTACAGCTCGTACTTTCAATATTTATACACTGTAATCAGTAATAGAGTAGTGTGAGTTTTGCACCCAACCAACCTGTCGTCACAAATACATGTTTTTTAGGGTGTTTTTCATGTTCCATTATTATTTTTTGGTCCTGTTCATGATAGTGCAAAAAATATGGCCCTTAATAAAAACATAAATAAACAATATGAATAGAAGCTCTTTCAATAAAGGTTACATGTCAGTTATGATAAGTTTAAAAAGTGTCACTCGCCGTGTTTAATTGATGTTGAAATAACATCATCACATCATCATCAGCCCAGGCTTGTAAGGTAAGTAACAGGCGTAAACCTTAGAAACCATGCTGTTTTTAAATTTGACAAAAGGTCATTCTAGGGTCATTTGGACAGAAGAATCTTTACTAATGTTATGTTTTACTGAACATCTGACAAACATTCTTTATCAGGGTTCACTTTGTTCCCAACTAGTTGCTTTTCCTAAATGAACCATTATTGGCAACAATACTTTGGAAACCAATCCTCTGCAGGGAATTTTGTTCCAAAGCAGAATGATTATAAACAGATTTGAGGAGGGAGGAGCAGTAAACGCATAAAAAAAGGACTATTTAAATCTAATACATTTCGATATCTGCGGAAGAAGTGTTTTCCACCCATGAAGCCTTCAGTTACTCCCCTCGCAAACATTGGTCAAAGTTCGATGCGTCGACTCAGTAAAGGTCTGCATTCAGTTTTTTGTTGTGTGCTGCTGAGAGTTTAAACTTTTAATACAGCCAGGCTGACATTTTTGTTCTGACTAACAATGATAACATATATTTTATACACGGCTCTGGCAGGTTTGGCACTTTTGGTGTTATTGCCTCGCCTGAAAACTCGTTATTTTTTTCAAGATTTGAGTTTCGCCATTTCTTCAATTAAAATTGCTATAAGCTTTAACAAAATTAAGAAGCGGAAACCGTTTTACAGTATGCTGGACGCTTTTCTGGACAAAGTGGCGAAACATCCGCATAAGAAGTTCATTATTTTCGAGGAAAGCTCGTACACGTACAGCCAAGCCGACAAAGAGAGCAACAAAGTGGCGCGAGCGCTGTCCACCCACGCCGGCCTGAAGGAGGGGGACACGGTGGCCCTCTTCCTGGAAAATGAGCCTCACTTTGTGTGGCTCTGGCTCGCTCTGACCAAGTTGGGATGCATATCTTCTTTACTGAACTGCAACATCAGATCCAAGTCTCTGGTGCACTGCTTCTCCTGCTGTGACGCCAAGGTCCTGGTGGCTGGTGCCGGTAAGCTGATTTCGGTTTACTGCATTTATTTGTGATTCCATCCCTCCCACTCTTAATAATCTTTGTCACATAAACATGCTTTTGAATTTGTTAAAACGTGTACACTTACAAGAGACTACCAACAATATTACTTTAAAATATATATATTTTCTTTGCATGGTGTATACGTTTATCCAGAGATATTGTGGATGTTTAAAGGGATGATGCTGATATTGATATTTGGGACAATAATTGAATTAAATTATTTAAAAAAGTAATCCATAACACGAAAATAACAATTTTGATATGGAACCCTTACATTTGAAAAATAAAATCTGAAAAAAATGCATTCCATAAGAAACATTTACCATTAAAAATATATATATTCCTCCCTTCTTTCTGGTGAACAAACTACTCTAATTTGCCTCAAAACTAGTTTGCATTTCTATACTGCAATATCTTGTTTGTCAATTCATTTATTGGACTGGGCTTTGACTTTCTAGGCTTAATTCCCATGATCTGTAATGATTGATTCACCATGTTTATTGTATCAGCACTGACCTCCATGAAGTCTGAACTTCCTTGTTCTGTTTTGTCTCTCTCAGACTTGAAACAGGCTGTAGAGGAGGTGTTACCCACCTTGACCGAGCAGGGTGTCCGTGTGTTTATCCTCAGTGAGCACTGTGAGGTGGAGGGCATTGAAAGCCTCTCTGATAAAGTTCAGCAGGCCTCAGACCAGCCTCTGTCACCTCAGCTGAGGGCCAACGTTAACATTAAGAGTCCCGCACTCTACATCTACACCTCAGGAACCACAGGTAATCTGACAGGCTCATCTGACCTTCCCTTCTAATCTGTGATTGTGTGTCTGCAGACCTTGAGCTGCAGAGGTAGGACAATAAAAAAGGGCTGCGTCTGCTTCTAATGGCGTTTTCTCTCAGGACTTCCCAAGGCAGCTGTTATCAACCACGAGAGGCTATGGATGTCAACCTTTCTTCAGTCCATTGCTGCTGTCCGCTCAGACGATGTCCTCTTCATGTGCCTGCCTCTTTACCACACTTCTGGATTTCTGATGGGGCTTTGTGGAGCCATAGAACGAGGTAATTCACGAGATCATAAACCTATACAAACCAATGATTCACAGGGTGCATGCTGATTGTTTCCTCAAGGCTAAACAAGTGATATGGACTCTAGTAGTGCCCAACTATATTCATATTTCAAGGTCCTCAAGGTCAAAAACACTTTATTAGCTCTAACTGTGACTTTATTTTATATTGCTTAAATCTGTGCCTTCATTTGCAGGCATCACGGTTGTTTTAAAACGTAAGTTCTCTGCCTCCAACTTCTGGAACGACTGTAGGAAGTACAACGTGACAGTTATTCAGTACATAGGAGAAATTATGCGCTACCTCTGCAACACACCTAAGGTAAACCCCTGTGTAATGTCACGTATGGTCATGTTGTTTTAACACATTACAATAATATAGCACATACATTCATTAGCAGCCTTGATAGTTTTATTCGATATTTTCATGTACTCGAAACCAAACCAAACAACACAATGTGAGGTCTCTTATTCTTGTCTCGCCTCTTGCTCTCCTCTAGCGAGACAATGATAAAGATCATAAGGTCCGACTGGCCCTAGGGAACGGGTTAAGGAGCGACACCTGGGAGGATTTCCTGCAGCGATTTGGGGACATTTGTATCTGTGAATGCTACGGAGCGACTGAAGGAAATGTTGGCTTTGTCAACTACTGTGGCAAAGTTGGAGCTATTGGCAAAGAGCATTTTCTCCACAAAGTAAGAAGTTGCTAATGCTAATAGGTTTTCAGTAATATTTTGTGGGTTAACATTTTACGCCACGCGATGAACGTGCAGCTGCAATAGCATATATATATATATAGAGATGCTGTATGAATTAAAATGTTAGAAGATAAGATTCTTTATATAACTACTACTTTATTCTTTCTCACGTTTTATTCTCCAATTGAATTTTAGATGGGATTTAAGTACGCCCTCATAAAGTATGACACGGAGAAAGAGGAGCCCGTCAGAAATTCCAAGGGATTTTGTGTTGAAGTCCCCAAAGGTCAGAAACCCCCCCCCCCAAAAAAATATGAGTCTTGACATCTAGCTCTTACTAATAAACATCCTGTGCTTCTGACAGGAGAGACCGGGTTGTTTGTGGGGAAGATCGAAGAAAGATCTCCTTTCAGTGGCTACGCCAAGAACCATCAGCAGACAGAGAAGAAGAAGCTAAGAGATGTGTTTGTGAAGGGAGACCTCTACTTTAACAGTGGTGACCTTCTAAAGATAGACAAGGAGGGATTTGTCTTCTTTCAAGACCGCATTGGAGACACTTTCAGGTGAGGAACATCTAGGAATAGCTTTAGATAACAAATAGATGTGTTGACATTTGTAGACCATGTCACTCCCTAAAAGGTTCATGAACTCATTCTACGTTTAACTTGGTCAATTAGTTGGAAAATAACTATTATATAATAACTTTTACATTGTACCTCTGCAAACTGAATTAAACATACAACATTACATTGGATTATATTCAAGACCTATAAAGCATTTAATGTAGCTAATATAATTTCAGATTCATCATTGAATTATAATTTCATAATTCTGTGTTTGTTTGCTAATTATGACCAACTTTTCAGTGCAAAATGAAAACATAGCAGTTAAGTTATGCATTTACTGTCTTTGTTTTATTGACCCTGAATAAAGGTGGAAAGGCGAAAATGTAGCAACCACAGAGGTGGCCGATCATTTGCTGATGTTGGACTTTGTCGAGGAGGCTAATGTCTATGGTGTGAAGGTGCCAGGTAAGAATCACTTTGTTAGTAAGGATTTATGGTGCTGAAAATCTGTAACTCCTAAAAACTAAATGTTAGTTAAAGCCTTGCATCTGATCATTAAATGTGTTTGATTGTTTATTCATTAGACTATTTATATTTATATAGAATTTCACATGTCTAATAATCATACACAATTTTTGTAATTTTATCCAGCGAATTAAGTTTCCATTAAGTGCTTGTATAAAACGGAGAGACATTTATAATCTTCTCTTGTTAAATTTGTCATTTGACTTTCTCCTTCACTTTTAAGGACACGAGGGACGAGTTGGAATGGCAGCAGTGAAGCTCAAAGAAAACATGGACTTTGACACCAAAGCTGTCTATCAACACGTCAAAAACTACCTCCCCAGCTACGCAAGACCCCGCTTCGTTCGCTTGCAGGTAAGGAAAGTCTTGCTGAATACATTTATAACACATAACAATTCATGGATTTGTCTGAATATGTCTCTGTTTGTCTGGCAGGATGCAGTGGTAGTTACTGGGACGTTTAAGCAAATGAAGGTGAAGCTGGGACAGGAGGGCTTTGACCCGGCTGCCATCAGTGACCCTCTGTTCTACCTGGAGGACAACAACAACTATGTACCCATGACTCAGCAGATATTCAACTCCATCACAGATGGAAAAATCAGGCTCTGAATGAGTTCAGTGTTTATTGTTGGATTGTGAACCTCAAAATAATACATTTGATTTTGAGATTTGAAGTGATACTGGATGTCAAATAATGATAAATGGCATTCACATTGAACATTTAGGTACAGCACATTTCATGAGCTACTTGAATGGAATATTGTGTACTGAAATATTTTTAAGGGATTTAATTTAGTTTGAAAATTAAAAACATGATTGTACTGAGCAAAGCAATCCCAAATCATTGACATGGTTATACAGTGATCTTAGATTTGCCAAGAACTGAAAGTGCTGGCACAGCACCCGGCCTGAACAGTAGTAAATTACTCAATCATACAGCTGAATTACTGTCTGTATCTAATCGACTGTACTTAACTGCTTTTAGGATCATTATAGGAGCTTAGTGGTGGTTTCCAGTGGATTGGTAGAGGGGGCAGTGTTAGCAACAGGAGAAGAAGACATACAGTTCATTCTTCTGCAGGTGGAGGATACGTTTTTTTGAGTTGTCTGTGAAACCTTTACAGGGCAGCAAAGCTGGTGCGGGCCACACTGCACCCACTGGTTGCAGAAACTGGGCACACTGTAGAACTTTGTCAGCTTTTTTAGGACCTTTTTACCCATGAGATTTGAAGGCACCTCTGTAATCTTAAACATAGGACCAGATCCTGCTGTTGATGGCGTGCTAGGGAGGGCGCCTGCATCATCTTTAAGACTAGGCCTTGTATCAAAGTCGTAGCCAGACAGTGGCCCCCTGCAAGTGTAAGGCAGAGGCTCGCTGCTGCAGCTGAGAGAGCGCATTGGTCTCCTGGATCTGTTCCAGGCCTTGTCAATCCACAGCTCCACCTCAGCCTTTTCAAGACAGGAGACAGCATCCTCGCTCCCCTCAGACCGCATGTCAGAGTCGAGGTATTCGTCCATCACCTCATCTCTCCCTGATTTTAGTTGGTCTGCATTGTTCAGAGCCTGAGTTTCAGCTAGGAGAGTGGAAGCTGTTTTGGAGATGATGCTCCAGTCCTTAAGGATGTCCTCTGCGGTGGTGAACTGCGAGGTCACCGTGAATCTGATGATGCGCTTGGTGTTAATGTCTGCAGGGATCAGGTACATGGTGCCTGACCGCGTCAGTCTCCTCAGCAGCTCTTGTGTCAAAGCATTTCCCCCCTAGAATAAAAAATGCTTTTGAAAAACTTTATTTCCTTATAAATGAACTGACCTTTATAAGAGATGTTACTTTCAACAATGATTAGCTAGTCAAAGACATGTTGCTTAACTACATTTACTGCATAGACAATTTAAATCTGTGCCACCTACTTTTAGGCAGAACACCACCAGGCCAAGGTGCCTCTCAGCGGGAACTTCGAAATTTGGGTCACTCCTAATGTGAGACTCCAAAAGCTTCGCCATCTCAATCCCCTGAGGCAATACAGAAATATACATGTAAATCCTATAATTTAAAGACAAATAAAAGCTTTGGGATGTCCTAGTATTTCATGCATAAATACATGTTCATAATCTGATTACATTGGATATTCATTCCTTCAATAATTTGCATTAAAATAACTGAGTGCCACTTACATGTCTGATATGAGCCTGGAGGTTTTTCAAGCCAAAGGAGCGCATAACAAACCAAAGTTTCAGAGAGCGGAAACGTCGGCTGAGGGGAATTTGCCAATTCTGAACAGAAAGATAAGGTTTCCTTATATGAAATGATTCACTATAATAAATAAAAATGTAATTAGGTGATACAAGACAGTATGTTACCATGAAGTCTGTGGCTGCCTGTGAGTTTTCATGTCTGAGGTAAACAGGGTCAACCGTGAACGTCTGTTGGAGCTTATATTTATCTTTTACCCTGAGAAAACAAGGTAAAACCATATTAACAAATAAACAAGCATCCATCACATAGTATTAATTGTTTTTTTATCTATCATTTATAGTTTGAATTAAATGTACTATTAAGTTGATTCTTGCCCTTATTTGGGCTTTTGCACTATAATGTAAGTATACAAATCTGCTATTACTATAGAAAATAAAAACGAATTATCCAACAAAGAACATGCTTTTTATCCATTATTTCTGAAGAGCTGAGACAAATATTTAGCACTCTTACTCACCAGAAAGCTGTGCAGTCAAAGTGAACCATCATCCACTTGGAAGGGTTGAAGACAAAGGAGTCAGCGAGATCAATGCCCTCCAGGGACCAGCGCAGCTCAGGACAGAAGTATGCCGAGCCAGCGTACGCGGCATCAACATGGAGCCACACTCCCTCTTCTGCACCTGTAGAAGAGATTAAAATACAAGTACTGTCCACGTGCATCTCAAAAAGACAACTCAATGTTTTGACTTTACAGACATTTTTTTATACAGATATTATTAGGAGTGAATTTGAAGACGTACAGACTGGTCCAAGTTCAGACAGATTGTCAAAGGCACACACTCCTGTAGTTCCCAAAGTTGCACACAGCTGAACACAGGAGAAAACAAAAGCACCAATAAGATGAAAGTTTCAATGTCATTTTCTTTTTGTATTTGAACTATTTTAAACACAAACCTAGGTTTTTATCAAACCAAATTGTACATAATTATGTTTTAAGAATACCACTTAATATTTGTAGGTTTCAATACATACATCCACAGATCTACTTTAATACTAGAAGTCCTTCTATCAAAATTCTAGCTAAGTAAACATATCTAAGTGTTTTAGCAAAATATATTTAAAATATAAAAGTAGCTGTTATTTTAAATGTCCCATGACTGACACATTAGTGTAGACAGTTGAAGTAACTCTATATACAATCAAGCCCTTATAATAGTTGTCAGTATTCCTAAACATACTGTACAAAATGTCATCGGGGGTAAACATAATTTAGTAAACACTGTAAATCTCCACCGAAACACCCCATGATACCCACCCATCCTTCAGTCTATACGTACCATGAAAGGGACCAGTCCTATCCTCCTGTCTTCCTGTATGGCTTGTTTCAAAGTGTCTCCTCTCAGAGACAACTGATCATCAGTGGGAAGAAACCTGATCTTCACCAGAGAGATCAGACCTGCCTTCTCAACCGAGGAATGAGCCTATAAAAGCAGTAAACATTTCAGGTCACCTTCCACCGTGGCAGACAGATTTCTACTTGAATTAAGGAACAGTAACTTGTTATGAAATGAAATTCTTGAATTCAAAATAATGAGGGATTAAGGTTAGACAATGCATTCCATATCTCACATTATGTGTCAGATACCACCGTGTTTACAATTCAAAGGCGATTAAATATAGGTTTCAGAGAGAGCCGGTGGAAACGTTCAGTGACCTGCCGCAGTAGCAGGTGAGGTGAAAAAACGGACACTGACCTGATCTGAAGCGTAGGCCACTAATCTTGAATTTAGCACCGAGTCGTCCACGTCCTGCTCGAGGTCAGGACGCAGCTGCAACATTTTGTCTTTCCTGGCTGCCAGAAGAGCGACCAGTGTGCTCTCACTGACTGTGCTCTAACAGGAGGTTCAGGCAGAAGAGAGACTTAAAAAGTTACTGCAGAGAATACTTTCAAGTTTGGCGTTTAAATAAAATCAGATCAGGGTATTCTCAAACCTGCAGTATGCCTCCACCTCTGCTCTCAGGATGGTGATGCAGGAAGAAGGAGGGGAGTCCCAGTGCTTTACACAACCAGTCCATCACATTCATTTCCAACTCAGTACATGCTGGGCTGGAGGCCTGTTCAAAACCAGCAACAAACTCTATTGTATGTCTTCAATCAGAGCTGGGCTATTTGGAAAAAATCTTCTATGCCTAGTTATTTCCTATCTATATGTAGAGACACATCCCGATATAGCATGTTTTCCTGTAATTAAATAGCCTATATAAAATAATCACATGGTAAAGCCTATTATTTAAACTACTGATTTAAAAAAAATGACAAATGAAAAGTATTTCCCAAGAACTTTAGTCTGAAATGAAACAGTTTCAAGCTAAAATAATGCATGCAAATACAGATTAATCACATTAAGACAATAGTTTGCTTTAACTACACTGGGGTATAAGTTAGTATTTGATTGTTATTACCAATTAAGAAACAATATCTATCCATATATATGATTACATCACCATGCAAACCCATTGAAAAACGTGAATGTAGTTATGTTTTCTTAGTTGTTTTGAGGTAGTGTAGAAGGTGAGTTGTTGCCTTACCCAGGTGAATCCAACACAGTTAATGGCGTCGGCCAGCATGTCCCCAAGCATGGAGGGCCATGAGGTCAGACTGGGGTAGTAGGCATGCATATGAGGGCTCTGCCAGTGAACCACCTGAGGGAGAAGAGGAGACAGAACTTGCTTCAGAGACATAGTTTCTGACTTCTGATATGATCATGTTTGACAGTAGGAACTTACTCCTGGCATGATGACTTTCTCGATATCCTTGAAGATGCTCTCCCAGTCCTCCGGCTCCTCAGGCGCAGTATCAGGAAGAAGCTCCCTCATGTAGCCCGGCTTCACATCTGGAATCACCCTCCTCTCCCTGATGGAGCCCAGATACTGTGTGATGTAGTCCACCAGCTCCTTACCTGGTCAGAAACAGACACTTTAACAGCTGCAAGGATACTTAAATACATCTTTATTCTGACTATTGTTTGCTAATCATTATTTTCAGTGAGATATAACATCACAACAAAACAAGTCATTAAAATGAAATGAAAGCTATCATTACCTCTGCGATTGTATTCTTCAGGCTGCATTATTATTTTCAGATGAGAGCTTTTTGGTTATATTTGTTGTGTGAAACAGCTGTCTGCAATGATGCTTTGTGTATCTTGTGGCAGAGATCACAGAACTATATAGGTCCTGTTGTGAAGAGCACGCCCCGAAGTGGTGACGCATTTGAACCATCAGACAAATGCCCATCACTACATTTGCACCAAATATTTACCCTCTGCTGGTGGAAATTATTTCCTTATGCAGATCATTGTGAGATTATACTGTATTAAGTTTAATAGGATAATATTATCAACGGTATAATTGAATCAATCCCTCTGTAACTCTAACAAATAGAAAAATATGGATCAGTGTACTTGTTTATTGTGCAATATTAAAGTACATTTATAAATTATGAACTCCCATTGTTCCATACTATAACCCTGAACATCAAAATAATGTTTAAAATATATCTAACATATTTGCAAATAGTTCTTGAATTTAAGACAATTATAACGTACAGTTTTCTTATCCCTTTATTTATTACATTGTGAAAAGGCCCACTGGTGTATCATTGCCCATGTAGTGGATCAATTGTATGCTCTCTTAACTGATACAATTGAGATTCTCTGCTCTGTTTCCTCCTCTCATCTCGCCTTACCACATTACAAAAGATGACTATTAAAGGAAAGGGATATATCTATTGTTTGATGACTTTTCACAAACAAATAAAGGTCTATCATAGGGGAAATTACAAAGGAAATAATCTACGAATGAGTAAAAGGGGATGATGTGGGAAAGCCATCTGTGTCGCAGCTTATCGCTGCCTTTTAAACTCTGACAAAAGCCTGAGCCGCACCTGGACTGTTCACACACTCTGCTGTTTGCTGTGCATTGTGCTCCACTTGGACTTGCTCTCATCTAGTTATTTGGGGAAGCCAATAAGCGGTGCAAATCTAACCACGATTTCAAATACACTAAGCACACATCAGTGTTTTTCAGAGAGAGTTTGATGACTTATGATGAGAGGCAATCAACTCATTCCGTTGATTCGATGAAACTAATAAAGGAGCAGGATGTTTATCTAAGCCATTTCAAACCTGTTATCCCATACAATAATATCAACTTAGACTAGAACTTCAAAACTAGAACATTATAACATTCACCAGACATGGTATTTAAACACTAATACATCACCTCTCTAAATATTGGAGGATGTGCATGCTATAACATTTATTTAGCAAGTTCTGTGAACACTTTCCAGTTCAGTGAAACCCACCATTTCTATGAATCTGAGCTTTATCTGCCACACAGACTTTAGATCCCACCAAGGCAGGAAGCCCAGTAGCTGGTAAAGACTGGAATAATGATATATGTGTGTGTGTGTGTGTGTGTGTGTGTGTGTGTGTGTGTGTGTGTGTGTGTGTGTGTGTGTGTGTGTGTGTGTGTGTGTGTGTGTGTGTGTGTGTGTGTGTGTGGTACAATACAAAACAATAAGTATGATGGGATATTGAGCAGAGCACACTGCGACTATTGTGCTCCTCGTGTGCCTTACCATCTGGGAGTATGAGCCTGATGAAAGCAGGTTTAACACTGATTGTGCAATTGACATTACATCAAAGTCAAAGTGCTTCCTAATGGATCATATTGTGTTGATTTTATTCAAATAAGATACAAACATCAACATAACCCTGGGCTTTATATTTCAAACCAAAAGTCAAAAACAGTTCATAGAAAGAGGATTGGGCCACTTAATTTGACATGAGTAGAAGTGGAAAAGACACACCGACCAATGATGATACTGTCTGAGATGAAGGTGAAAAAAGGAACAAAGCAAGGGTTTAGAAATGTTGCTAGTTAGTTATCATACACATATAGTGTAGTTTTAACTAAGCTTTAGAAAATGTGTTATTATTCAATCAAGGTTTTGTTTTTCTTAATTTTAACCTTGTCATTGAAAAGTTGAAGTTGTAATGGGCAGCTTTATGGTGGGAATTTTATAATATGTAGATTTGTTTCAATGCTACCTCATTAATAAGCAAATGTGGTAAAAAAAAAAAAGAAGAAAAATATGGCAAGAGTTGTTATGTATTTTAGAGGTGATGCTTGAGTAAGACAGTACACTGAACTTAAACATTGACTTTAATTAAATTGTGTTATGTCAACTGGTTCCACATATTTGTACTAGATTAGCCTCTTAAACCCTGAGCCTGTTTTTCAGGTCTCAGGCTCGAAAATGACATTCCCAGAACAAATGACTATATCTTCCCTTCTAAAAGGGTTAAATTAATAATCTTTTTTCTCAAAGTAATGATAAACCTGTGAGTTGGATGTAGAAAAGTCAGAATCAATATAGATGTTTTTTATTTTAAAGAAAATTCAGATTTTACATAGTAAAAAACTGTAAATTATAGTGTCCGTCCAAAAATTCTTTTTTACTTATAGTGAAAACTACCCTTGGATGATGGGTTAGTAGACTACAAGCTTTAGGAATCCAAAGTACAACATATAATAAGTACCCTGTATCAAGATTGATGCAAAACAAGTGAAATTTGACCTTTTTAGAGAGATTTAGCCAAAAAACCCCACTTCTGGGGTCATTTGGGTGGATTTGACCTATCTCTGGCCCCGCTTGCTCGATTTTGATGAATGAAATCTCTTTATAACCGCTAGAGCCAATGGAATCGAGGGAAAGTTATATACACACCAAAACGTTAACAAATAAGGAGTGAGAGTGACGCGTTACCAAAACCGGAAGCTGCATACTGGATCTTCAGTTAGCTGAGATTCTTCCCGTTAATCTGGTGCTACACATTAATAGTTTCATAAATGTTAAGAAGCCCTGAGACATTATCTCGAAAAAAAAACGGTGGGAGGGGTCCAATGGGGGGACCGCCGTGCTTAAGAGGTTAGTTGAACGTAATAGTGTTAAGTTGAACCTATTGTCTTTTATTTAAACGTAATATTATTGCTTTTAACTAACCTAATACAGTTATGTGTTATCTGGTTACATTATTTAAGTCAACGTTTCAAATGTTTTGGAGTGTAGATAGTCAGCGGCTAACTCTTTCTTAACAACACAATACTAAACTTATCAGCTGAAAAGAAAAGAAGAAACGATAGAGAACATAGAGACGATGTAGCAAGGAAAATAATAAACCGATATCTGGCATGTCCATTAGAGGTGTCAATTAAAATTTGCATGAGATTTGTCCATATTACACTAACAATTTAATTGGGATTTTAACACCTGTTGATTATCTGAGATATTCAGACTTTGGAACACAACATCCAGTGTGAAATGGTACAGGAATGTTGGCCTGCATTTCAGAGCTGGCTTCAATGCAAAATATATAGTGCTGCACCCTCCTAATGTGATGTTGATCGAAGATGGAGCTGGATCAAAGAGTACTTATGAACTAAAATACCTTAGACTTTTTGATAAATAATAAGAATTTATTAAAGTAAAGTAAACATTTCAGCCATTACATTACATTACATGTTACTTGTTAGACGCTTTTATCCAAAGTGACTAATGGCGCGTTTCCACTACACGGCCTCGCTCGGTATGGCTAGGCCTCGTTAGGACTGGCTCACTTTATGGCGCATTTCCATTACAGTTTAGGAACTGGGGTAGTATCTATAGTAACGCAGTGTAGGCGGAGCCGTGACGTCATCTTCAATGAGAACCCCAGAAAAACAACACAGCCGTTAGCTGTTAGCACTCAGAGCTCACAGCTCCTCATATATGTTCAGAAACTAGACAAAAGTTAAACAAGTACAAACCACAGACTGTCTGTGTCATGGCGAATACAGTCGCTGCTTTATTTATGTCTGTATAGGCCGTTGTTGTGAGTGTGGACGGTCGGAGCATATACTGCGTTAGCTTAGCCAATCTCCATTTAGAAAACACGCATTTTAAAAGGTTTTTCGCCTGCCGTCTGTCTGCAGACTTGTCAAAGCATTAATTCATGGTTTTTACTAACCGGTATCAGTATGTTGTTACTTCGGCATCATTTTGAAACGTGTATTACAATTAAATCACGGTCAAATATGTCCATCTTGTTGTAGTTGTAGCCCCCTTGCCAGCGATGCTCTCTCTAGTTTAGCATACTCAGCCCGACTCAGCCTCGTTGTCTCTGGCCCGAGACCCACGATTTTATGAGGCCAGAAAAACTGTGAATTAGGACCCGCCGGCCGGTACTAGGCCAAGTGGAAACGCAACCAAAGACGGGCCGCTGACGTCACAGCGTGACCAATTTGGGGTGAAGTGTCTTGCCCAGGGACACAACGACATACTGACTGCAGTGGGGTTTGAACCTGTGCTCCCCTGATCCTAACACCAACGCACTAGTCCACTGCAACACATCCGCCCTATTGCGCCACATCTGCCCTAGTGCGCTACAGCCGCCCTATTGCGCCACAGCCGCCTTAGCCCTATTGCGCCACAGCCGCCCTATTGGCCACAGCCGCCCTTTCTATTTCATCCTTACTGACCGCCAGAGGCAGTGCTTAGCACTGGATATCTTCTGTCTCGCGCATGCGCAGGTCGAATATTTATGTCAACAAAGTCACGTGCGACCTCGTATCAAATCAAATCAAATCAGGTTTTATTTATATAGCACATTTAAAAGCGATTTTTGGTCGAGCCAAAGTGCTGTACATGTAATAAAAACACATTACTACAATCACAATAAACAGATATATATAAAAAACAAAATAAAATAAAAACACAAGGAAAAGTCAGGAGTCGTGCTCCGCTCTAACTAGAAAGCCAGAGAGAAGAAGTGTGTTTTTAGTGTAGATTTAAAAACCCCTAGGGTCTGGGCCGACCTCACATGGAGGGGCAGAGTGTTCCAGAGCCTAGGGCCAGCTGCTGCGAAGGCTCGGTGCCCTCGGGTTTTAAGCCTGGTCTTGGGCACTACCAGCAGCAGCTGGTCAGCAGACCTTAAAGCTCTGGCTGGGGTGTAGCGCTGGAGGAGTTCAGCTATATAGGCCGGAGCCAGCCCATTTAGTGCTTTAAAAACAAATAAAAGGATTTTAAAATCAATTCTGAACCGAACTGGAAGCCAGTGTAGTGAGGCCAGAATAGGGGTGA